TGAACAGGGGACCTTATGACTCTGTTGAAACTATGTATTACCCTTCTAACCCTGTGATCTTAAAAGCTCAGGGAATTTAACACTGACCAACCAAAAACATAAGGTAACTTAATAAAAATAAGTAAACAAGCAGCAAGTATTATAACACTGATATATAAGTAGCATAGTAACTGGTATCACTAACATTAAAGAGAACAAATGCTTTAGATGACAGCTGTTAAACTTACAGCCATTCCCCCTTGTCCTGTTAGTTACCAGCATACAAAATGAGAGTTCTCCAAACACTCTCATGTGGGAGAAGCCTAGTCTGAAACAGGCACCACCTCTTCAGCATTTAAATGGCAGAGAGTCAAACACTCTGCTTGCTGTGTCTCTCCTGTACTTGCTGGTCCTCAGTCGGTATTCTGCCAGGAAGACAAACACACACATAACTAGAAGCACACAGCAAGACAAACCACGTAGAGCAGCATGTACGCAGCACTTGGTACTGGCAGTACTAATGCAAGGTGCAGTGCAGCAAATGCCCAAGACTGAGAAGTAGAGAATGGCCAGAAACAGGAGCATTGGTCCAGGGCTCCAGTGCGGTATATTAAGTACTTGATTACACATAAGTGAGTTCACTGGCACATCAGTAACATTCACAGTCGGGGTCAAGAAACAGAGGAGGTCTCACTTTTCAGTGTCCACACTGCAGAAGTATTTACAGTAACTCATAGTCAGCTCCCCAGATGATCATTCCCTTACACAAATAAACAACTTGTAGTACAAGCATGAGTTAAGATTCCTGAGAAAAACTAAAGTTACTCTATCCTTAGTCATTGTCGTGGTTCAAGCCCAGCCGGCAACTTGGAACCACGCAGCCGCTCGCTCACTGCCCCCCCTTTTCCTTCCTCCCCCCGCTCCCGGAGGGATGAGGAGGAGAATCAGAGGAATGTAACTCCCACGGGTTGAGATAACAGCACTCCAGTAACTAAGGTATAATACAAACCACTACTGCTACCAATAATAATGATAAGAGGAATAACAAGGGAAAAGGACACAACCGCTCACCACCCGCCGACCGATACCCAGCCCGACCCGAGCAGCGATCTGGGCCTTCCGGGTAACTCCCCCCAGTTTCTATACTGGGCATGACGTGCTGTGGTATGGAATACCCCTTTGGCCAGTTTGGGTCAGGTGTCCTGTCTCTGCTTCCTCCCGGCTTCCCCTCCTCTCTGGCAAAGCATGAGACTGAGAAAGTCCTTGGTCAGAGTAAACATTACTTAGGAACAACTAAAAACATAGAATCATAGAATAGTTACCAGCTTTGTTCCCAGGCTGAAAGTCAAAACCACAGCACTGCACCAGCTACTAAGAAGGAGAAAAAAAAATGACTGCTGTAGCTGAACCCAGGACAGTCATTTACTTGAGAAAATAAAGTAGTATTCCAAATCCCCCAAAATAATATAAAAGAAAGAAATACTTCTCTTGGCAAGCTTATTATTCAATAGTTTGTCTTCTAGGTGTTGCTACCTCCTCAATGCCATAAGCCTGCTCCAGCAAAGTTTTCTCACTTGGAAACTTCTCATTCATCCAAAAGAAAAAGCATTTCTTTTTACACATGGAAAACCACCACCATAGGCATCTGCTCCAGTTTTATCATCTAAACCTTTTGCCTCCCGTTACTTGCATAACTCACAACTAAGAAACTTCATGAGCAGTTTCACGATAAATCTTATCAGCTTTGGAGCAGTGCACTAAAACCCACATCAACAGAATTCAGGCAAACTTTGTGTATTTTCAGAGTTCTCCCATCATGGTCACCGGAAGCATTCTCTGCAAGTTGAATTTTTGATACAACTTCAAGATTATCTGGTTAGCACACTCCTTTTTTCAGAAGATCAGCTTTTGTAAAAGCAATCATCTTTGTTTGATTATTGTTAGTATGTGGCTCTTTTAGCACCCCATCTTCCCCCTTTCTCCTACTTATTTCAGCTTTGTACCTCCCCAAAATAATCTCATTCAGGCCGCTCTGCTGCAGGACCGCTAAATCAGAAAGGTCTTTGAGAACTTTCAGCTTGGTAGGTAAGCTATTTTCATCTCCATCAAAGTTGTCAGGAAGGTTTTGATGGCATCAATTTCATCGTGGGTTTTGCTCCCCTACAACCAAGCCCTGCAAATAAATGCCAAGCTGTGAGATGAAACAGTACAGGTGGGAATATGAGAATACCTAATGGAAGAGAACAGTTGGATTGAGACAGAGCAGGTAACGCGAACATCAGGAAACACTCCTGCGGTAGTTTTGCTGATGTAGCTCTTTCCTTAAAGGTAACAACAATGCAGTATTCCACGGATCAGGACCTCTTCTCCATTAACTTGGGCTTTTTGTCATGACATGCACAAACTGAGAAACACGGCTAAACACACAATACCTAACAGTCAAGATGTCATTCAGACTTCTACCACAGTTTGTCAGTTTACCCTTCTGCACCCAAATGCAGCTATTTTAAATGACTGCAGTTGCAGTCACTCACTTTCTTCCAGAATGACTGAAGAGGCCCAGTGTGGGCAAGTCAGAATATTGGTCTGAAAATATCGCTGGCACGATGGAACAGTTCTGTAGAACAGTGAAGCGTGTTTGGTAGGTTCCTCCACCCTTTTTCCCAGCATAGCTCACTATTATCCAGACACTGCTAACCAGGCATGACAACAGTTTGAAGTTTCCAGCCTATCGCTTTCAGACAACACAAAGTGAGAGGCCAGTTCTACAGGTAACTTTTAATGCAAGTCTTGGAAATTTGAGAAGATTCTGATTTTTCCCCCTTCTCAATACACGTGATTGCATTTATTTACATACATTTTTACCCTCTGCTATGCATTTATATTTGTTATTGTGAGTTACCCTTTTCACTCTTCAGTGGTAGCACAAATGGTTTATAGCCAGGACTCCTCACCATAGCTGTGCTTGCCATTTATGCAAAATTACAAAAACATTAAGCCTAAATGCTTGCTTGCTTTTTTTAATCTTCTGGCAAGTCAGGATTTTCTCCTCATTTATCAAGAGCTGTGCCTGGCAGAAGACACCAAAGATGCTCATACTTGTGACTAATCTAGATGAAGTTCAAGTTAGCTGACAGGAGATCATTTTCTTCAGTTCTTCATTCAGCTCTTACTCATCCCAGGTATCTCCGTATTTATTTACTTTAACTAAAGAAAAGAAGAAAAAGTAGTCACATAAGACTTAATTTAGCTGCAAAAGGTTATCTTACACAGTGCCAAAAAGTATGATGAAATACATGACCATCTGAAGGGGCCAGTGGGGAGAGTGTGAGTCACAGCACAACAGACATCCAATTAAAGCTACTTCTGAATAAATGGGGAGAACAGTTTGTTAATCATTCTTCTTTAATGAATTAATAATCAGTCAAACAGCCTACTGTGCTAATTCCTGCTCTATAGGATTTGTAATTACTTGGAAACAAATGTAACATGTGGATGAAACAAAGACAATGGGAGGAAACAGGCAAGGAATGTTACGATAAATAACATGGCTACATAATCCAGTTACGTGCACAATTGGATGGATCCAGGATAGTTAAAAACACGTTCAAAGACAAACAGAAATCAGTAATCCCTACTAGGAAACTGCTCAGCCATTATTATTTGGCAGCTTCCTTTAATACAGGAGTGAGTCAGGGTAAAACAAAACCAGGGTACTGGTCTTAACGGATTTATGCAGAAATACGTCATGGGTAACTGAACAAGGACCAGAAAGTGGAGATGGTCTCTTGAATGTGAGCTGCCAACTAGTCTGTAACTGACTGCCAGCACTGGTCTACATGATCCAGTAGGAATGCTGGCACTAGTCAGGCACCTCTTTATAAATCTACATGCAAGTTAATTACTAAGCTCCCTGTTTATTAATACCCATCTGCAGCAGAACCAGTGGAATAGAGCAGAATGCATGGTCCTTGTTTCAGTGACATGTCAGCAAACTTAGCATAATGCACCCACAAATCTCTTGTAAACAGACTGGTACTGCAGTGAGGCACAATGAAAATCTCTCTCAAAACACAATTTGATTTCCATTTCCATTAACCACGGCAGCTGAGCAGGCCACACTCATTCCCTGCAAAATAGTCCAGTGCAAGTCACTATACATACGCATCCATATTTGTACGGCTACAAAGAATGGAGAAGGCACCAGCAGACGGAAGTTAGGCACTACATAAAGCTGCTTTAAATGCAGTTTGTCCTTCCTTATGTCCTTGCAACAGAGGGCTGAAACCACTGTCTGCTATTTGCTACTCTGGTTCCTATGACCAAGGCAAGAGGCTGAACAAAGGGGTAATGACTCAGGACGTAGGAAGAGGTATACAGGCAGCATGTCCAGTGTGACACAAGAAGCTAAATAAGATCTTAGCCTGCAACATCATTAGAGTCCCTGAACTGTAGACTTAAATGTACTTCTGCTTGTAAAACATCTCTGAATTGCTGTATTCCTTCCTTACCTTTTTCCCTAAAAATACAAAGAGATACGCTTGAAAGTTGTTTTACAAACCTCATGCACTGCTCAGTGTAGTTCTATTCTTAAGGCCCGAGTATAATCATCAAACAGAACACAGAAACATAATAGACAATGCAATGTCTGATCAGTATTTTACAGAGGCCTTTTACAGTCCTCAGATAACTAAGAATAAAACAATGAATGCATATTCTCATTTCACAGCCACACGATTTGCCATGCAAGATGCCAAGGTCTGCAAAATACCGCTTAAGATTTCTGTGCATGGTTTTCAAGTGATGTTTCTAGACTTTCTATACGTGCAGAAATACCTTTGAAAAAACACACTGTGTAAATGAATGAAGTGTCACCTACAGAATTTAGAGGCAATGTGAAAGTACAGCTTCAGTAATTTTTTAACATCCCATCTGGTATAGTTACCTGATAAAAGAAAAAGGCTTTCACAGCCTTGAAATAACAGATACAAATCCTTGCTCTGCAGTTGTTTATAATTTTTACCTCATGATTGTGTAGATCTGTCTGTCTAAACACAGATGATCTGGACAAAGTAATTCACAAGCATGAAATAAGACTGGTACTCTCTCTTAAGCAACGCTGTTCCAAGGCTTACTCTTGCTGCTTCAGAACTTTGTGCTTGAACATACTTTCCTGTACTTATTACCACCTGTCATGCCTAAGAGGAGACGTTAGTTATTCCTACAAATCTTGCGGCAGCATGATTGACAACACTGCACACTCCACACAAACCCAAACAATCCAAGCTGACTAGTTCAGCGGTGTGTTGAACACCGGAGCATTCCTCTGCTAACATTGTTTTCACACATGCCACACTAAATTAAAATAGTTCTAGAGCAAGCAACGATGAATTGCTTCTGTGTCTCCTTTGCAAAAAAAAGAACTGAGTCAAAAAGTTGACTGAATGGCATCTTATTCCTCAGGACATTGCAGGCTTATTTTGGTGTGTAAAGTTTTGTTTTTCACTGTGAAAACAGATCTCAATATTGCTGCCAAATACTGTTTCCTTCCTTTGAGTTTTAACGTAGAAAATGAACCTCTGCAAACAATGCCTCTATAGAAATGCACTAATTCCACATGAAACAATTCATAAAAATAAATACCCCCCCCTCAAAACCATCAACCATGTGCTCTATTTTGAGAGAACAATGCTATCTGAAGCAAGCACCCCCTTCCATAGCTAAAACTCTTCAGCATGGCTCTGAGCTCAGAGAATTCTTTGTTGAAAGAGGTGGCACGATATAGTCAATAACCCAAAAGTTCTGAGCTTTTCAGCCTGGCACCGAGCAATGCAGCTGAAAAGGAGTTATCATTTGCTGTTAGAAATTAATCTGAAACATGAAACTACAGACCAGATCCCATGAGATCCCTGCAAATACTGTAGAAATAAACTGCTTAAATGGTAAGCAGAATTAAGCCTTTGTAACCATGTTTAGCATTGTTGCCAATATGTGAATTGACTATGCATTTCCGTAAATTTGTATATTACCTTCCTTAGCTGGTTTTTCCTGGGAAAACTTGCTTGGAGTTTCTGCCTTTGGTGGTAGCATTACCTCATATGTCTCTCTGTGTTTATTCCTTAATTCCTCGTATGTGATGCCTTTTTTTTTACGACTTTCTTCTGGAATCGGAGCAGGATCTGCAAACAAAACAAACATTAAGATACTAGAAATGGCATCACACACCAAAACTTGGCTACGTGTTCCAGAACGCCAGGTAATTACAGCTCAATCCCAATGAAAAAGAGCGCGACAGCTGCAGTTCTAAACACAACTGAAAATGTATGTGGTCTTTAATTAATCCATTCCCTTTGTCCTTCTCATTGTGTCAAACTGCTTCGGAAAACTGGCAGTTAACTCCTTTTCTTCATTTTACCCAATGGAAATCCTAACAACCATGCAGTAGCTGACGGATAAAATAGTTCTGGTCACTATGTAAGATTTAGGATACTCATACCTTGGATATATTTATGATTTCTGAAGTGAAACTTAGGTGACGCTCAAGGGTTTGCATTCAGGCTTTAAGTTCTGCTTTCAAAAAATTAGGACTACTTCCATCATATGTCACCCAATAAACATTTTATCCTTTAATCTACACTTGTAATACAGAATCTCAGTCCTATATTTAAGGTTCTACCAACTACTGGTATTTGTGATGAAGTGTAAGTACGCTTTCCTTGACACTTCTACATCTGATACTTACATATAACTAAACCCTAGTTGCATGAAAGGGCCTTTTTGTGAAATAAAACCTCTTCTATGAAGGGGTTAAAAAATCCAAACTAATTAAAAATACAGAACTTTGCATTTGACAGTAACTTCCTCCTCTGTGCCCCGGAGAGACCTGAATTCAGAATTGTGTGCTTCCCTGCAATAGCTGAGGACAGAGTTCATACTGGAAGGAGGGGAACAGCTGCACAGAACAGTACTTGAAAACCCTTTTAGTTCTCTGTGAGAAAATCAGCTGTTACTGGACAGAACACAATATGCATTCAGTTCTCAGAAGACTTAAATGTTTGTCCCATTATAAAAACCAGTCTAATGTCACTGAATTACAGTGGTATACAGTCACAGCACCACCACTGGTGAAAATGAAGTAACCTCAGAAAGGCCAACAGGCAAATGGTAGAGACTGTGGTTTATTCAGTGCACTGAAAGATGGCATATTCACATTAGCTTCAATTCAAAAGAACTGAAGATCAGGCTGAGATTTTTTCAGGTTTAGCTTCACAACTAATTAAACCACATAAGTTAATTTACAATCTTTACTTGCAATTACAGCTACAAAATATGAACACCCCCACCCCTGAATTTAATTACAGTTAGAGCACAAAATAATACATATATTTATATTCTGTGTAAAAGCAGTTCTGGGAGCTTCAAGCTGTTCCATTCAAAATCACTATACTGAACCATGTATGTGTGCATGGGATGAAAATACATAGTTTAGTAAGAGAAGTTTCCAAGAGAAAGGCAAGAGTCGTCATACTACAAACTGCTAAATGTTTAAGGACAAACACACCTTGAGCAGCATAATCAGTAATTCCTGTAGGTGAGGATTCATTCAGGGAAGCACTGAAAGGAACAGGTTCATAACTGGAGAGGGCTCTATCTGTTGAACTATAATCATCTGAATAGCTAGAAGGAAGTGGGTATCCAGCTCTGGGAGAAGAAGATTCAGTGTATGGCTGAGAAGGCATGTCTGAAAATTCAGATTTCCGACTGGAACGGCTGGAAAATAATACAAAGAAATATAAACACAGAAATATTGAAACATTAAAAATGGAACTAAGAGTAACAGTATGTGCAGCTCAAGAAAATACTCTTTAAAATGGTTTAGTTTTCAACATGAATCATCGTCTTAAAGTTTGCAGTGTGGGGTTTTTCTAATTTACATTGCAAAGATCTATTCAGTCCCTGCCCCAATGCTCTGCCCTTCCTCCCACAACTTAACTCACACCTGAAAATCTCTGGAACGGAGACAAAAGAGACAATATATTTTGCACTTTACAAGACAAAAAAAATGACAATCCCTTCCCCCAGGGAGTCTTCAGACAGAAAAACCCCTGCATCAGACACAAATAGGACAGAGTGTGCCCACCTAACTAGTGGTAGCACAAATATAGGTATTTTTAAAGGCCTTTTAGGAAGAATTTGCAATTTAAAACCCTTCATCATTAGGAGCTGCTGTCATTGATCAGTACCAGACAGCAGAAAAGGAGAATGAAGAGCTGTCTTGGGAAAATTAAATCATGAAGCTTTATCGAGTTGCTGAATTCAACAGAAACATTAATGAATTTTCTCTTCAGAGACAAAGATAAGATCATATAAAGAATACTCTGGAGAATGATGCCTGATATTCTAAAGCATTTGCTGCATACTCAGAATGGCCCTGCAAATCACCACACGACATGTCTTTATCAAGAATGCCACCACTTGGTGCCACTAGAATGTCTCTAGAGTATTTATTCATTTTTTACTTTAACTTTCTGCTTAGCTGTACTTTTGACTTCCTATGAAAAACATCTGCAATTTGTCTTTGTTTTATTCTCACACTAAACATACAGAACTAAGCCATTTTGGTCTCAATTATATTTTTTTCATGACAATGAAAATGTAATAACTTCTTAAAAAAGCAGCAGATTAATTTAGATTAATCATTCACCAAGGGGGGGGAATTACCCCTTGGTAAATAAAATTTAACAGATACAGAAATCATTAAAGGTTGAAGGGACTTATTGGTGCAGCAGATGACGGCACTTAAATAGGTTCTCATCTAGAGTAAACACAGCTAATGATCACAGTTTCTTACTAGAAAGTGGAGGGGGGTGAAGGGACAAGTCCAGCTCAAATTCACCTGAGTTTTTACAGTAAATATATAAAATGGCAATTCCTAAAATTAAGTTTGATGCCATAAAAACATAATCATTCCAGAATAAGGGTAAATCTTGCAGACAACACTGTCATAAATCCGAATTTATGAAGTAATTAAGAATTTATTCAAATCGTTTCTAAACATTTACTTAACGCATGCATACAAGGACTACTACTCACTATCCAAACACTGTTCTCCCAGTTTTAAATCAAGGCTTTAAGTGAGATATTCCAGAAGTAGTTTGCAATTAAAAACCACTTGAGGTAGAAAACATTCTGGAACAAAACAGGAAATAGTTTTAAGAACCTGATGACTTTCTCATATGTACAGCATAATGCTGTTACAGATGTAAAGGATTTAAACAAACAGCAGTAAGTTTGACCACCATGCTTCTTCCTGCATCGATATTGTTTACTGGGCTCTTTCCTTTGATAAACACTGAAATCATTTCCACCCTCTTCCTACTTCAATCAAACTAAACTATGGGAAAAACTTCTAAAATGCAAAACTACTTTCTTTCAGTTAACTTCGTTTACTTCTAAACTAAGGAGGCAACTTCTGCTGTCACCTGACTGTAAGCAAACTCCATGGGAAAACATCATCTTAATTTACAGGGAATACGTTTTGCTAAGGATATTTCTTTTTCTACTCCTTGAAGTAATCAGTTGTACATAAAGAACCCAAAATGCATGTTTTATAGCTGGCCAAGTGATACAGATACAGCTTCCTGAAAGTGGTAGATTTGGGGTAACAGAGCAAAAAGGAAGTTACAGCTCAAGGTCTTTGAAAGCCACAAACATAGCATTGATCTGTTAAGTGTTTAAAATGTCCTACTCAGTGATGTTTTAAATTCAAGAGAATTAAATTCTTACTTAGGTGAACTATGTCTCTGAGCTTGTCGTAGAACGTCTCCTATTGGGGAATCCTTCAGCTGCTTAAATTTCTCACTACAGACTGGCAAGTAGGAAATCTTCCCAGCCATGTATCCACATACTCCAGCAACTTTTTAAAAAGAAAAAAGAGATGGGTTTATATATTGTATCATAAAATTCAACACAGTTTTAAAATAATGATTTCAAATTAATTATACAGGATCTTGAATAAAAGAAAAAATAGTTCAGATATAAATCAAAACCATGCAGTAATCATCTCTGCTGCTTCTGAAGACAAGGAGTACTAAAACAAAACGCAACTGCTGAACAGAGACACAGAACAATGAATTACCCATGGCATGAGTATCATATGATTTCAGAGGGTACTTGATGAAAGAAAGGTGACCAGAAAATAAAGGAAAATAACTGCAATCAGTTTTTCCCAAGATCCAGAAATAACATTTAACTATCAAAGGTGCTAAATTCTGCTGATTTATTCCATCAGAACAGTCAGATCTGGAAAAGGGCTTTCACTAGTATGAAGAGAAGTCTACATAAACTTAGCATTAGACGCAGTATCTTCTGAAGAGAGTGCTATGATACGGCCACCAAACGGTGAACAACTAAATTAACTGAACCCTTGCAGTCACTGGGCAAATACTTCCAATTCCATGCACGAACAATTTTGAGCTACTAGCAGTACATGAGAATAAATGATCATGATAGCTCTTTTTCAGCTTAAAACTGGTGATTTCCATCAAGCAGCTCCTTCAAGTTTTACGAGTGGGTCAACTGGAGTATGAAGGAGCATGAAGGATTCAATGGCAATTAACAGAGGTCCTGTTGTTGATTTTGTACGAGAAAAGGACTAGACCCTTCCTTCATATGTATTTTCTAAATACAAAGACTAAGTCAGAAAAGAGTTAATTACCAGTAACATTAAACCTCTGAAGTCCTCACACTACAGATTAATCACCTGGGACTCAACATAAAAGGGGATTTTACCCTACCCCACTGTACTGGTACTGAAATTGTGATTCCTGATTTAATGCCTGTATTTTCAAAAGGTTAAAATTCCGTTTCCAAGGGAAAAGAGAAGAACAGCCACAACGACAAGTGAAGTTTACAAAATAAGATATATAAAGGTTTAGCTGCTTAGCAGGTCAAAAAAATCTGGAAGACACATCAAATGCTGTAAATATACACAAGCGGAAAAATCACAAGCCCCCTGAAAGGAAAAACAGTCTATCAAGAATTCAAACTAAATATTTAGCAAAATAAAGCTAATCAGCAAGGTGATTAACCTTTGTCATAAGTTGCAAAGAGTAATTAAGTCTCCTTTTCTTGAGGCTTTCTAGTCAAGGAAAGTGGGAGCATCACTCTGGAAGATGTTTCACCCAAAGCAATGATTGGCTACATTATTTGGTTTCACTTATTACAGAACTAACAGCCAGATTATCCACATCTTTGAGGTCAGCACATTAGATTAGATATTGTTGCAGGCTGGCATGAAGTAGGACATATGGATCTTAGCCTTCTTTCCCAATAGCTCTATGCCATGTTGAACAGGATACTGTCAATGTAGTGTATCAGTCACGACTAACTAGAAGCTCCATTAAATTGTCAGTGCCTAGAAGACTACTGAGAAAAGCTGTGAGAAATTCCTATGGGCAGAAGAACATCCTGGAATCTGAAAACTCCTATCTAGAAAATGAAACACCTCACAAATTCCAGATAAAACTAGAGCAGGGAAAGATGCAAGATACAGACTAAAGAAAACCTGACTCAGCTATGGTAGTTACATATAAAAGACCAATTACCATAACCAGGCATAGATACTGTTCAGAGTAAGAATCTAACAACCACAAGTGACACATACCATTATTAAAGACAGACTATTGTAATCAATGGATGCAGCAGCAATATGCTCAGATCAGCAACACCAGAAAAGCACTAATTGTCTTGAACTGTCTCACTGTTATCATCAGCTAGCTATGAGCTAGCAGCAGTACCTGGAATTGCATATGCCCTTCTTTCAGAACTTGAGGAAGAAAAAAACCCAAACTAAAACAACTGTGCTGCTTCCTTTAGTGAGATTTCACTGCAGGAGGAATGTGCAGTTAAATTAGGTGACATAATTTGGCCCCGTAAACTATGCCCTGGCAATAGTTTTCAGGAAGATCCTGTAGACAGTAAGATCTGACAGTAGACAGCATCTGACCTAAGCAACATGAGGACGAAACAAAAACTGCTAACTCAGGCCTTTCACACTCCACTTATGTCCCAGAAAAAAATCCCTGTATTTAAAATGCACATAAATCACATGAAGTTACCTACTGAAAGACAATGAAAACACACACTATGGAAAATTCTTCTAGTATAAAATTAAAGTCCAGATGCCTCCAGTGTCCATCAGAAAGGAGAAGCCAAAAATATTTCAGCTTACAACCTTAACATCAAGAACAGTTAGTCCAGTCCAGGTGCTCCCTATTTTTAACCTTGATTTCAAAACTTCGTTCTATTTAACAGGAAGAACATGGCCCTCAACTAGAAATATGCAGGAGCTACCAGTAATTCTATTATTTATGAGAAATGTCTGTGTTACACCATTGTTTGGCATTCAAAGAAAGCAAGTAGAATTTAGCATAAACAAATGGCAGCCCTAGTCCCTCACATTCATTTATCTGCTTAAAAAACACTTCCTTCACCACAAATCATGGGTTTCACCCTCTTCCCACTGAAGTAAACTGTAAGGGTAACTGGCTGTATTTAGGCAGATTGGCAAGATGGCAACTTCCTGTTTTACTGTCATGCACTACATGGAAAATGTTAATTTATTAATTTATTTGTGATTATACTTAATCCAAAATCACTCATTGCCCTTTTCCTACAATTGTACATACATAATGTCCAGGGAAAAAAGGCACTAAAATAGCCTGAATGGGACAAGTGAGATGCATGAATAAAGACCTTCGAATTAGGAAGGGAGGGGTGGCTGTACTCTGGCAAAGTAATTTAAAGTAAGCTTGTACAGTATCTATTTACAATGGTTTTGTCTTCAATTATTACACTACACTTGTCAAGCAATTTTATGGAAAGCCTATAAACAAAACTTGTCTAAATGTGCTACACAAATTCAAAGATGATGAATAAATGAAATGCTCTCCCTCTTGACACTGAATAGGTTCTTGCCGTATGACATGTTGTAGTTAAGAAATGTAGCTAAGAAGCTGTTGACTGATAGAATTAATTGCAGGAAGGTGAAACTTGTTCATTGGCTATATCAGATCATTTACTCCTATCTTCAGGCACAGTTGTACCATCGTAAGAATTGATTCTGTAAGTGCTGGATTCTCTATGCTGGATTCTCTACCTGGGACAGCATAATCCTGGTTATACATAAAATTGAGGGATGAGAGGCAGGAGAGCAGCCCTGCAGAAAGAGATCTGAGGGTCTGGCTTGATGACAAGTTGAATACGAGTCGTGTATCTTGGCAGCCAAAATGGCAAACCGTGTCCTGGGGTGCATCAAGCACAGCACAGCTAGTCAGTCGAGGGAGGTGACTGTCCCACTCTACCCTGTGCCAGTGCGGCCTCACCTTGAGTACTCTCTGCAGTTTTGGGTGCCTCAACAGAAGGAGGACATCAAACTTAGAATGTGTCCAGAAGAGAGTGACTAGGATGGTGAAGGGTCTCGAGGATGAGGCCTACGAGTGGCTGAGGTCATGTGGTTTGTTTAGTGGAGAAGAGAATGCTGAGGGGCGACCTCATCACAGCCTACAACCTCCTCAAGGGGAGCAGCGGAATGCGAGGTGACCAGCGACAGGACACAAGGGAATGGAATGAAGCTGCGTCAGGGGAAGTTCAGACAGGACATTAGGAAAAGGTTCTTCACTGAGAGGGTGGTCAGTCACTGAACAGGCTCCCTGGGGAAGTGGTCATGGCAGCAAGCCTGTCATAGTTCAAGGAGTGCCTAACGATGTGCTTAGTCATATGGTTTAGCTTTAGGAGCATGGAGCTGGACTCCATGATCCTCACGGGTCCCTTCCAACTTGAGATATTCCACTCTACAGAGTGGAGTCACAGTGAATCAGCGAGCTTGTCTCATGGGAAATACATCTGCATAACAGACTCCAGGACCTGAGGCATGAATACAAGCTGAGTTTATATGTTGCTTTTACTTACATGCAACTTTTACAAAGGAGCCAAGTCTTGAGCTGTCTCTTAGAATGCCTGAAAATGAGGATCAAAGTAATTAGTAATAAGTTATTAAGAATTAAGCTGAAAAACATCAACTGTAGTTATGTTTGTAGGTTAGTTCATAATTATGTTTGCAGGTAGCAGATTACCCTTTAACACTTAACACTGAAGAACATTCAAGAAACCCAACATCTGAATTCCCCTTAAAATTATGTATATATATAAAAAAATAATCTAAGAATTAGCACTTTAATCGTATCTCACATATTACTATATATACAGAATATGTTTCATTATCAGTAAGATACTGCATTCGTCAAACAACATAAACCAAACATATTTTCATTTAGAGTTTTGCTCCTTTGGTTTTAGGAACTGCAAGTCACGTAGCTGAAGAGCCTGAACTTCTTTTAACTACATTAATACACTATATTATTACAGTAACTGTATTAACAGCAGAAATGTATTTCATCTGAGCAAATCCAAATTAACCCAAAGTATGTTTACACTTTACCTTTCTTAATTAAGAAGCTAGTACCAAGCATGCTCACTGCAGCCAGAGGAAAAGCTGTGAAGAAGAAAAACTGCTTAAAATACGATTTTCAATACTTTCAACCACATTTAACAGAATATGCAATAACATGAGAGTTGCTAGGCCTTACTGAGCTCAGTGGTATACGAACATAAGCATATAATTAACAAACTACATACAGTCCGAAACATTCTCGATTCCAGATTTTAAGTCCTACTACAAATTATGTGGTACTGGTTAAAGAGTCATCCTGTCCTCATCACATTTCATGCTTCCTAAAATACAGGTGGGCTACAGCTCTAAGGACAAGACTCCAGGTCTGGCTACAACTGCTCAGCATCCAGGTGCAGAACCTTAAACCAGAGAAGCATTCCCAGTTCTTCAGGGTGGAAGGCAGTTACATGGAGGCCAGTGCCTCCAAGATTTTCAATCACCAAAAGTCTTGATTTTAACATAAAAACTTGGGAAAAGTCTAACTCTTACAGAGATACAAATCAAATTATTTAGAAGTAGGTAACGTGTTTTATTCACCAGGAAATTACAGAACAGGGCAGCCTTTTCTGTAGCTTACAGATCAAACTGTACAACCCAAGGGAAGGGTCAGGAATGCAGAGAAGATGACAAACACAGAAGAGCTGCCTATCAATTTTTATCATATTGAAAGATTTCAGGTGGCCAGAAGCATGTGAAGATGGCAAGAAACAAAAGGAATGCTTATTTCCAGCAGTGATAATCTTGGTATTGGAAAGACTGACTGTGAAACTCTTTGTAAAGACCACCCTTTCTACACAAGATACAGTGTCATCCATAACAGATATGACAGGAAACTAGAGTTAATTGCATTAAAGATTTAAGTATGGCATAATGAAATTACATTTTGTGCAAGTCAGAAAATGTGTACATTACAGAAAAGCTCAATGACTTAACTTCACCTAGGGGAGAAACTTTTATTATAGCACTACAGGTTTATAGTGCTTATGCACACAATCTGCTAATGGAGTTCTTGTTTGAAGATAAACGGTATTTTTTAGAATTTGGACAGCACAGTATTAAACTTTACAAACTACCAGCTAATTCCTTTGCAAATTCTGACAGATCTAGGTGAGGAGTCCAACCAGCATTGCAGGGTAAACAGGACAGGATGTCACTTTTAAGAAAAAGTATTGACTACTCGGTTCAAAGCAAGATTACAGCAACACTTCAAAATACAGAATAAAATCTTCCAATCTATTCAGGGATAACCCCCTGATGCTTTTAGAGATTCTAGACCTAGATTTTGTGAGCTAGAGAATGGCAATGCAGATATGAAGCTAAACTGCAAGACAAATAAAAACAAGGGCACGTGTGGTGTTAAAAGAAATTCAAAAGAACTTATCACAGAGGACTTCGGTCTAACCCTCAGAGGTTTGAAATGGTTTGTAGGCCCTACTCAAATATTCTGGTCATCAAAGACAGGTTACACACTTTAGTGGAAACAGCTGTTTGTAGGCAAGCATATAAATGACCTGAAACAGTAACCAGAAATTAAGAATACTAGGTAAATGAAAATTGGGTTCATACATAAAAACTAATACTAATAATAACTCAAGTGTAGAAAAAAACCAAATGCAGCTTAATAAATCAGAAAATATCAATGCTTCCCACTGCTATGGGCAAAAAGTACTTCTTTTCTTTGCTTCAGGAAAAAAATAAATCCTAGATAAACTGATATATCAACAGCCCATAATTAAGGATGGGAATGTAACGTACCCTAGTCAAAATGGTTTTATGGAGAAAAAGCTGTATCGATCTGGCTTGATTTTGTTAACAAGATTAAAGGTACAATTGATAAAATTGTAGAGCATAGTGTGAATCATTAACAGCATTAGATTTTGTATTATACATGACTAAAAATTAGTAATACCAGTAAAACATACATTAAACTGAATTCTGAGGTGACTAGCAAGCATTTCTGAAACAGAAGCTGTCACCAGAAACTACGGCAAAACAGAAAGGGCTTGTAAGAACGGGTAAAAACTGCCTACACTTGAAATTAGAATAACCAAACTGAAAATACACAAATGTATAGCAATATATGTGAATAACAAGAACCGATACAGTAAGAAGAGAGCGTGTCAGGGCAGTCACACAGGCAGCCCACATCTCTTGCAAAAGGGCATTCAAATAATACGTATTTAACACAGGGAACACAATGCTCCAGGTTCATGTAATGCAGAACAATGAAACAGAGAGGAGAGCTAGATAACAGTGATGTACTGTAGGCCCACACAGTGAGGTAACAGCACAGTCCACAACCCGTGGAAAAAACATCTTACAATTACTATTGTAGCTCCCTAAAGTGAAATTCCTCGAGAAACTAATTTGGGGCTTCCCAACAACACCTTAATGTTGCTGCTTCTGTCTCTGTATAAAGATGCACAGGGCAGTAGGGTTATGTTGCCCATCAAGAACTCTCAGCAGAACACCTCAAGAGCAACAAATAATTCCCTCCCCTCTTGCCTTCCAGGAAAGGGATTACCAATATGCCATAACCAACCATCACTTTCCTACTAATGAACCTGACTCTTTTCACTTATAAAAATATAAGGAAAACGGCTGGAAAAAAGCTGAAGGTTTCCAGGTATCTGAATAAACATGGAAGAGGAGAATGCCAAAGCAATGGAGAAAGATAAAGCAGAACTTTGAATCGTTAATTCAAAATCACAATGCCACAGAAGTTGCCCCGGAAAGGACTGGCTTCCAGGAGAAACCAGAGCCCCTGTCTGCTAAATTTAGAAATCAGCCGATAAATTCTTCCTCTGTCCTGGTTTCTGCTAAGCCACTTGTCAGCATCAGGAGTAATCTACTTGTATGTGACAGAATAGTGAGTAACAATCACATCAGAAGGCTTCTTCAAACCTCTTGACCAGGTGTCTAAAAAACAGGTATGCACTGAACCTTTGGATTACAGAAGCAATGTTAAGCAGTAATGCAATCAATTCTCAATGTTGTATGGAAAAAAGAACCCCCAAAACCAAACCAACAACCAACAGAACACTGATATTTCAGATAAATTAAGATGAGACATACTCTGTGAAAACAATGTGAGTTTATTATTCCTCTATACTAGCCTCACTACAGAAATCACTGCTGACTGCAGAATCACGCTGGAGAATCTTGGCTTTTATTTGCAGGGGAAAAGTGCCCAAATGTCTGGTCACACACAGACACAAGTTTTCTCCAAAAACTGAGCTGAGTGACTACTTATGCACTGTTCTCTTCACAAGTCTCCATAAAGACACAAAGCAATGGTTCTAAGTTAAACTGTTTAATCCTTGCACTCCAAAGAGAATAAAAGGTGAAGATAAAAATAACAAAATCCAGAAGCATAAATGAAACTCCATTAATTATACCTATTTTCAGACTTTTAAGAAGCATTTTAAAATATGAAGGGATCTTGTTAAAAAGCATAAACCTTACAAATGATGTTGTACCATCTACGAAACCCCTGAATCCTGTCCTGCAAACCCTTAATAAATAAGTGTAAATCCTATGTGGATCAACTTCTACTGGAATGGAATTTTAGACCACGTGAAGCTTGTTAATGAACTGCTGTGATATGCTGACACAGGCCTGCCCTCCTTTCTGCCTCAGAGAACAGCAAAAACTAAGGGTGGAAGAAAAGCAAACCAAGCTCACCAGCAAACTAAACTCACCTCTATACCGGGCACTCTCTTCAGCACATTCCTTAAGGAGTCTTCTCTCCTCCTCTGTCGGCACATAAGGCTTAGGTATTTCCCTCTTTCATTAGGCAAATAGATTAGAAAAGAATGAACAAAAGAAAGGTTTGGGAGGATTTTTCAATTAAAAGCTCTGTCCAGCTTTCACACCTTGTAGTGCCTGTACCTTCACACAGCTATTTTTAAGGAACTGGTGACTTTTGTCTACAGATGTCACAAGAAATATTTTATTTTTAAAACCCAGTGGTTCCACAAATTGTATGAGAGCAGATGTGTACAGTCAAATCCCAACTCGGTCCACTCCTGCTTTAGAAAAGCCAGCTTTTGTCCTTGCAACCAGCCTTCCAAACGGACAAAACCTGTTAGCTCATTAAATCCCTTTCTAAACACTTGCCAAGGCTTTAACTGCACAACGCCTGCCGCCCGTTTGCACTTGGTGAAAGCTGGACAGCTGTTCCTACCAGAGGTGCGGGACTCTCGCCAGCCGGAAGCAGCGCGGTCGGGCGCCCTGCCAGGCCGCCGGCC